TGGGGACAGGTCTGTTGGGGAAATAAGGCCAAAATAAAGGGGAGGTGGTGGTAGGCCAAGAACTGAGCTCCCCGGCCCCGCCCTGCGGACTTTCCTCAGGCTGGGCTGCACCGCCCGAGGCGTGCTCCCAGCAGCCGGGTTCTGGAGGAGCGGTTCCAGGTTCTGCCTTCACGCCCGGACACCTGCGGGGTCACTTCTGGCAGCCGGGGCGCGGCGGAGCGAGCTTGTAGAAACCTGGCGGGAACGAGAATTGTGTCTCCTTAATATTCAAGCCTTTGGCCTCTCCCAGCCGCTCAGCATCCCCCGAGGCCTCCACGTCCGCTTTGGGGTGCGAGGTTCCTTCTCAGCCAGGTCCCTTGGTTCTGACCAATATCCCCGTGGAGAGGGCAGTCACCCTGCGGGGCCCCTCCTCTGTCCTTGCCTTCTTGAATTCAGGCTGCTTGATGGGCCTGGTTTGTCTGTTCGTCCCAGCCTCAGGGAATGGGCGGGTGGTGTGTGTGTGTGTGTGTGTGTGTGTGTGTGTGTGTGTGTGTGTGTGTGTGCAGTCTGTGCCCGAGCCCTGGGGAAGAAGAGAGCCGCGCGCCGCTCTCTCCCTGGAGCCCTTGTCTGCGCCCCCCGCAAACCCTCCTCCTGGACCCCTCTTCCTCCTCTCCGTGGCTGGAGGTGGACGGGCTCTTGCAGCCACGAAGGCCGACGGGGTGTGAGCGGCTGGTACATGCCCTGTGGCCCCTGGGTGCTGGGGATCCCGGGGCTTTCCGGGTGTGTGGCCTCCTAGGACCGACGGGTCCCCAGCTCCACTCGCCGGCCGCTCCCACGTTCAAGGAGCTAAGAGAAGATCTATTAATTTCTCCGTGCAGAAATCGATGCTCTTGTCAGGGCGGCGATCGATGCCAGCCCAACCTGGACCTACCCAGCCTGGGGGCCAGCGCTGGCTGGCCTGAGTCGGAGGCTGATGCTGGGGGTCAGGAGGCGCAGGGCTGTGGACGCTGCAGGCCGCACCCCCGCCCACCCAACCCCCCAGAGCTCACACCTTTGCACGCTGGCTTCCTGCGCCGCCCAGTGGTCTCTGCTGGAAGTCCGCATCTCGGTTCCCTAGTCACCCTTCTCCCGCTTTTTGGGCTACACCTTCTCTTTTTCTCTGACTCTTAACTTTTCCTCTCAAGGTCCGGAGTTTTGTCTTTTTGGGGTCCCTTCCCTTTTCTTCCTAGGGTTTAGAGAGCGTTTCACCTAATTTACCCCAAGTAACACTGCACACTCCCACAGGCATGTGCGCCGTGAGGAGCGAGATCTGAGGCCCGGGGCTGGGTAGGATGACCTGGACGGCAACCTTTCCCGGGCTCAGTCCCCTCCCCTCCCCCTTGGATGCAGCTGCTTTAGGCTGGGAGAAATAACATATCAGCTTCCCAGTTCCCCCACCCCAGCAGACACCTCTGAGGCGTTCTGCGATCGCCCCTCCGCGTCTCCCAGAGCTGGGGGAATCTTGGGGGAGAAAGCTGGCGGTGGGGCCCCAGAAAGGGTGGGGGCCGAGTTGGG